CACGCCTACAATGTTGACAATTCAAAAAGAAATAGTGGCTGCCAATTTAGAAAAAGACTTAGAAGTCTTTATCAAAGGAAGAAAGATATCTTCCTTAAATTATGGGATGGACCCATCAAATCTCCCCCTCCAGTCCCATTCACCTGAAGGAGGTAACATCGGAGTTTCTAGTTTGAGTGCATGCCGACAAGTTCTTTGCATAGCTCGAACTTGTCTCTTGGTACCACCTTTGTCAGCATATCCGAAGGATTCTCACTTGTATGGATCTTCTTGACCTGTATAGATTCATCCTCTATTCTTTCTTGAATCTAGTGATATCACACGTCAATATGCTTCGTCCTTGCGTGATACATGGTATTTTCGCTTAGGTCTATTGCACTTTGACTGTCACAATAGACGACATACTCGTTTTGTTATAGTCCAAGCTCTTGAAGGAACCGTTTCAGCCAAACCATCTCCTTGCTAGCTTTAGTAGCGGCAATATATTCTGCTTCAGTTGTAGAGAATACAACACACTTCTACAACTTCGACTGCCATGATATAGCTCCCCCTGAAAATGTGAACAGGTATCCTGTAGTAGATTTACGATTATCAAGATCACCTGCCATATCAACATCCATGTATCCTTTCAAGATTGGATCAGATCCTCCAAAACGCAAGCAATCTCCTACAGTACCTCTTAGGTACCTGAGTATCCACTTGACTGCTTCCCAATGTTCCTTTCCACGATTTTCAAGGAATCTACTAACAACACTAACTGTATGAGCAATATCAGGTCTGGTGCATACCATTGCATACATCAAGCTTCTGACTACTGAAGAATAAGGAACTCTAGCCATGTTCCCTTTCTCCTCCACTGTTGTAGGACACATCTTCTTGCTCAACATTAGATGACTAGCAAGAGGTGTGCTGACTGGCTTAGCATTCTTCATGTTGAAGCGTTCCACTACACGTTCAATGTACTTCTCCTAAGACAGCCACAACTTTCTGCTTGTTCGCTCTCGAACTATTTTCATACCCAGAATTTGTTGTGCTGGGCCCAAGTCCTTCATATCAAATGACTTGGACAGATCTCCCTTCAACTTTGCGATCAACCCCTTATTTTTTCCTACAATTAACATGTCATCCACATATAACAACAATATAATAAAGTTATTCTCAGAAAATCTTTTGAAGTATACACATGGATCAGAATAGGTCTTTATGTATGTTTGACTTTTCATGAATGAGTCAAACTTCATGTACCACTGCCTTGGTGTCTGCTTCAATCCATAAAGACTCTTATTCAATTTGCACACCATGTGTTTCTTTCCAGCTACTTCAAATCCTTCTGGCTGCTCCATATAAATCTCCTCTTCCAAATCTCCACGAAGAAATGCAGTTTTCACATCCAACTGTTCCACTTCAAGATCTAGGCTAGCTGCTAAGCTCAAAATTGTTCGAATAGAAGTCATTTTGACAACATGTGAGAAAATTTCATCAAAATCAATACCTTTCTTCTTTCGAAGCCTTTAACCACCAATCGGGCTTTGTATCTGACCATCTTGCCATTTCCATCTTTCTTGAGTTTAAAGACCCACTTACATTTGAGTGGTCTTTTACCCTTTGGAAGTTCAGCCAGCTTGTACGTGCCATTTTTCTGTAGAGATTCCATCTCTTCTTACATGGCTTTCATTCACTGGTTCTTTTCTGTATGGGGCAACACTTCCTAAAGACTTTCTGGCTCCCCTTCATCACTGATGAGGACATATTCTCTGGAAGGGTACCTGCATGACTCTACCCTTGGCCTTTCTGATCTCCTCAGAAGTTGAGGTTGTTCTTCTTCCTGAGTGGGGTGCTCCACTTGCTCGACCCCATCATCAAGTTACGCCTCCTGCTCAATAACCTCACCAGGTTGCCTCCCCTGCTCGGCAACCTCGTCGGTCGTACTTTATGCACTTGTGGGATAGTTAGAAGAAGAAGGAATGGTAACAAGGATAGGTATTATACCATTCTTTGTCTTCTCTGAGTGGTCATCTACAGTTCCAACTTTATTTTCTCGGAAGACTACATCTCTGCTTCTGATGATCTTCCTCTTTACAGGATCCCACAATCTATACCCGAACTCTTCATCTCCATATCCGATGAATATGGAGGGAACGGATTTATCATCCAGCTTTGTTCTTTTCACCTTTGGTACATGTGCAAAAGCTCTACAGCCGAACACCTTCAGATGCGAGTAGGACACCTCCTTGTTGGTCCAAACTCTCTCTGGGATGTCAAACTCCAATGGAACTGATGGACTCCTATTGATTAGGTAACATCCTATCTGAACTGCTTCACCCCAGAATGACTTAGGTAATTTAGCCATTCTGAGCATGCTTCTCGCCTTCTCAACAATGGTGCGGTTCATCCTCTCGGCTACGCCATTGTGCTGTGGGGTTCCAGGAACTGTCGTTTCATGTCTGAAGCCATGACTTGAACAGTACTCTCAAATTCCCTTGAAGTTTACTCACATCCATTGTCGGTTCGGAGACGCTTTAGCTTTCGGCCCGTCTCCCTTTCTACCAGAGCATGAAACTTCTCGAAAACTTGAAACACCCGATCTTTGGTTTTCAATATAAACCCATAATTTTCGTGAAGCATCATCAATAAAAGTAACAACATATTTGTTACCGCCCATCGATTCAATTTCCATTGGACCACAAACCTCAGAATATACTAAATCAAGTATATTCAATTTTCTTTCAGACGATGTCTGAAATGAGACTCTATGCTGCTTACCAAGAAACAATAGTCACAAGGTTTTACTGTTGTACCTTTGGCATAATAAATGAGTGATTTCTTGGCAAGAATCTGCAATCCCTTCTCGCTCATATGACCCATTCTTTTGTGCCACAAATCTGCAGAAATCTCATCTTGTGCCGCGTTCAATTCACCTCAACATATTTCTGCATTTGTCCTATACAACGTGCCACGAGCAACTCCCTTTGCAATCATCAATGATCCCTTGTGAGTCTCCACTTTTGATTTGCAAAATAGTTCTCGTATCCATCTCGGTCTAAAGCAATTTCTGAGATCAAGTTCATCCGCAAATCAGGTACATGCCGCACGTCCTTTAGAACCAATGTGCATCCGACATTTGTCTTGATACAAATGTTACCGATCCCCGCAATATTTGAGTAACTCATGTTACCCGTTCTCACAGTTCCAAAATCACTTGCTATATATCTGCAAAAAATTTTTTTGCCGATGTGGCATGGTAAGATGTTGCTGTATCAACCACCCATTCCAACTCTGGACCTGGCAAGTGCATGCATTCCTCTTCCTCATTTATAGAGAGGACAACATCATCATTGTTTTGCACCATGACGGTTCTGTTGTCGTCATTCTTCTGGCCACTGGTTTCACCTTTGCCCTTCCTTGGATTTGGGCAATTTCTTTTGATGTGACCTGGTTGATCATAATTGTAGCAATTTCTGACTCTTGATTTGGATCGGTTCTTAGACACCCCACGAGCCCAGGATCTACCATAGTTGCTCGAACTCCTTTGGTAACTCCTGCCTCTACCTTCTGTGATGAGAGTCTGTCCTTGATTTTCAGGCTTCTTTGTCATCTTTTCATTGAGTAGAAGAGCAGGATGGTTGTTGCCAAATTATCGTACGAAGATGGCAACGAGTTCAATAACAAGATGGCTTTGTCTTCTTCCTCGATTTTCACTCCGAGGTTGGCAAGCTGCGTGATTAGTCTGTTAAACACATTTAAATGTGACAAAAAATTCGTGCCTTCACCCATGTGTAGGGCGTATAACTGCTTCTTCAGGTACGATTTATTTGTCAGCATTTTGGACATGTATAGGCTTTCCAACCTTGTCCAAATGCCACGTGCGGTGTCTTCATCAATGATGTTATTTACCACATCACCTGATAAGTGTAACCTGATTGCACTAGCAGCCCTTTCATCCAAGTCAGCCAAATCCTCAACTTTCACGGTATCAGGCATTTTGGCATCAACATCTAGTACCTTGTGTAATCCTTGTTGGATGAGCAGATCCCTCATCCTTCTTTGCCATGTTGAGAAACCGTTATCTCCGTTTAATTTTGCTACCTCGTACTTTACTCCGGATATTTTTTGTTCACCGAGTATAGTACTACCGACAGTGAATAGTACTTCTGTGAGTGAGCGGAACCTGTGCTCTGATACCAATTATTGGGAATAAACCCTCCACAGAAATAATATTCACGGTAACAAAAGCGGAATTATAACGTAGCACCGGGATACGGTAATTAACAAGTATAAAAGAGTGATAACGACACCAAGATTTTTATGTGGAAAACACTTTTGAATAAGGGAAAAACCACGGGCCCGAGAGGAGCAACTGATATCACTTTAGCAAGGAATTCTAAACTTTGTATGTCCGAGTAGAATACTCCAAAGACCACTACAACACTCAAAAGAAATAACCCTCTTTTAATATTCTCACATCACTACAATATCGCACACTCTCTATTTTTCTCACAGACTATTTTCTTATACCCTGTCTGTAATGCCTCACTCTTTCTTTCTCTCTTTGTTGGTGTGTAGAGATGAGAGCCAAAGCTCTCCTTTTATAGGCGGAGCCTCACTCTCTCACGCCTACTATATTTGACATTTTCCTCTCACGCCTAAAATGTTGACAAAAAGAACGGTGGCTGCTAATTTAGAAAAAGACTTAGAAGTCTTTATCAAAGGAAGAAAGACATCTTCCTTAGGATGGACCCATAGTTTAAGTAGTGAAATATCATTATTACATTAATTGCAAGGTATTCTATTGTTGAACATTTTTATTAAATTTCGTACATGTGTTGTTCAATTACGAAATGTTAATTATTAGTGAGTCAAATGTGTTTGAACATTTTTATAGAAGAAAACTTTTATGGGCATGTGGAAGTAGGGAGTTTAGCGGGTTTACTCTGTTTTTATTGTTCAGCCACCATTTGAAATTAATTTGAAAAATACAATTTTTCAGTTATAGATGAAACTCTAACACAAGGTATTAGAAACTCCTATATGCTCCGCTCTAGCACAATGTGCTGGAGTTCGAACACATTGTGGAGCATGAGTAGTGTAAGTTATTGGTCTTGGATTTTCACTTTTATAAGTTCAAACTCCAAGAATTTCACTTTTATATTAGTACCAGTGTACCACCTAGGAAATCATCCCATTATTTTCTCATGTACCACCTGATAGATTTTATTGAATGGCTCAGTAATTAGAGAGCCTCTGTTACTTGTTTTTATATGATATGGATACATACATTGGGATAAGTATATCACCAACAAAGATAAGTATTAAGAGTCCATCACATATATGGGATAACTACAAATATGAGATAAACTCTTAGAGTCCTAATACGCCCCCTCAATCTGGACTGGCAGACATGACGGACAGATTGTCACGTAAGAAGCTGAACTGAGATGATGGTAAACCCTTTGTGAAAATATCTGCAAATTGTAACCGAGTTGGCACATATCGAACAACAAGATCCCCTTGAGCAACTTTTTCACGAACCTAATGAAAATCAACATCAATGTGTTTGGAGCGGTCATGAAACACAGGGTTACGAGACATATATGTAGAGATCACATTATCACAAAGAACATGAACTGGGTTACGAAGATAGAGCCCGATGTCATGAAGAATATTACGAATCCAAGATGTCTCAGCCACAGTATAGGCGATAGCTCTGTACTCAGCCTCTGTAGAAGATTTAGAGACTGTTGGTTGCTTCTTTGCACGCCATGAGATAAGATTAGAGCCTAAAAATAGCGCAAACCCTGTGGTAGAGCGTCGACTATCAAGACAACCAGCCCAATCAGCATCCGAATAGGCTAATATAAAAGAGGTGGATGAGGAGGCATGGAAGAACAATCCATATGTGATGGTACCCTGTAAATACCTGAAAATGCGCTTCACACAATGCAGATGAGTAGTACGTGGAGCATGCATAAATTGTGAAACAATGTTAACAGCATAGGCAATATCTGGGTGAGTCATAGTTAAGTATTGAAGAGCGCCAACCATACTCCTATATTCACTAGGATCCGAAAGTAACTCACCATCCATAATAGAAAGAGAAGTGCGAGAAGCAATAGGGGTGCGAACCGGTTTGCATGTATGCATGTGAAATTTAAGAAGCAAATCAGAAATATACTTTTGTTGTGACAGATGAAGACCATTAGAAGAACGAACTGCCTGAACACCAAGAAAGTAATGAAGATCACCTAAGTCTTTCATGGCAAATTGTCTAGAGAGACGACTAATGAAGTGATCAAGAAGAGAAGAATCACTACCAGTAAGAATAATGTCATCAACATAAAGTAATAAAATAAGAATACCAGACGATGGACGGTGAATGAACATGGACGTATCTGATTTGCTGCAAATAAAATCATGATCCATGAGAAATGAACTAAAGCGATGAAACCAAGCACATGGTGCCTGCTTCAAACCATAGAGCGCTTTAGTTAGCTTACAAACATGACGAGGATAATCAGGATGAGTAAAACCTGGAGGTTGTTTTATAAAGACTTCCTCATTAAGAACACCATGCAGAAAAGCATTTTTAACATCAAGTTGACGAATAGGCCAAGAAAAAGAAACGGCAAGAGAGAGGAAAATACGAATAGTAGTAGCACGAACAACAGGACTAAATGTTTCATGATAATCAATGCCAGGTTGCTGATGAAATCCTTGTGCTACAAGTCGGGCCTTGTATCGCTCAACTGACCCAGCCGAATTATATTTAATACGATAAACCCATTTACAACCAACTAAGTTCATGTGAGGTTGAAAAGGAACAAGTACCCAAGTATTATTTGCTAAAAGTGCATTAAACTTATCTGCCATGGCCTGCTGCCACTTCGGACTTTTTACTGCCTGAGAAAAACAAGAGGGTTCAATTTCTTGAATAATAGTGTTCAAAGAAAATATTTGTTTTGGTTTCGAAATACCAGACTTGGAGCGAGTGTGCAATGAGTGAGCAGGAGGCATAGAATTAGTAGGAGAAGCAGTGCTAGTTGGCAGTGAGGTAGGTGCAGAAGAAGAGAGAACATTAGAGCAACACTCGGTAGGAGAAGCGGTGATGGACACGTGATCCATAGAGCTGGATGTAGGGCACGGGGAAGAAACACTAGAGGGAGGTGGAGAAGACGACGTAGAAGGAGACATACTTGACTTAGATTGGGTATCGGGCTGCAAAGGGGATAAAGGAGCAGTAACTACAAGAATCTCAGAAGAGCCATTGGATGAAGGGACAGTAGAAGGGCGAGATAGTTTAGGATATGGAAAAACTAATTCATGAAAGACAACATGGCGACTGACATAAACACGACCAGATGTAGGATCTAGGCAACGATATCCTTTATAATTAGAAGCATAACCTAGGAAAATACATTGGACAGAACGTGGTTGAAGCTTATGAGAAACTTGAGAAGATATATTTGGAAAACATTCACAACCAAAAATTCGAAGAAAACTGTAGTCAGGGGGTGTATGAAAAATATTTTCAAATGGAGAAAGTCCTTTTAAAATGGGAGTAGGCAATCTATTAATAGTATAAACAGCGTAAAAAGCAGCATCAACTCAAAATTGAGATGGCATATGAGCATCTGTAAGGATGGTACGCACCATTTCAATTATGTGGCGATGTTTTCGTTCAGCCACCCCATTTTGTTGAGGAGTATCTGGGCATGATTTACGAAAAGAAATACCCGAGTTAGAAAAGTGTTGAAGCATAGCCTTATTATCAAATTCACCACCGCCATCACTTTGAAAAGTTTTAATTTTAGTGTTAAAAGTGTTCTCCGCGAGTTTTTGAAATGCACAAAAGTGCTGAAAAACTTCTGATTTTCTCATCATAGGATAAAGCCATGTAAATCGAGAAAAATCGTCAACAAATATAACATAATATCGAAAACCCAAGTTTGATAAAACAGGCGATTGCCAAACATCAGAATGAATAAATATCTAAAGGAAAAGAACTACGGTGAGCAACTAAATTAAAGGACAAACGTTGAGACTTTCCTAACTTGCACGAAACACAATTATTACTAAAGGAATTTAGTAGCGTAATAAGATTATGGTTCCTAAGACTTGACAAAACACGACTACCATTATGACCTAAACGACGATGCCAGATGTCTCCGGATTGACGTAGAGCAACAAATGCTTGAGGAGGAGAAGTCACAGACGAGGACGACAATGGATAAACATCACCTTTACTGGAAGCTTGAAGGAGAGGTTGCCCCGTTACCTTGTCCTTCACACAAACAGAAGAATCATCAAAGTCAACTTTACAATTATTATCCCTACATAACTTTTTAACAGAAATCAAATTATGGCGAAGTTGAGGAACATGAAATATAGACTGTAAGTGTAGAGGACGAGATGTAGAAGGCAACTGAGCATAGCCAATATTTTCAATGTTAAGCAATGTACCATTTCCTACCAAAACATGATCAGAGCCAGTGTAAGGGTTCTTTTGTATAAAATTACCTTTAGATGGAGTCATGTGAGCGGACGCGGCAGTGTCAAAATACCAAGTAGCGGCATTTGTTTCACCAACAGACATAGTAGCAAAAGACTTAGGAAGATCATTAGCAACGAAAGCATGATTGAAGCGATTTTGACATTGTAAGGCAGTGTGACCAGGATGCCCACAAATTTGACAAGCAATGGGTGAGGGTGAGGGACCTAAGATCCCACTGGATGGTGAGAATGTACTGCCAGATTGTAAATTATAAGGAGGGAGAGAAGCACCACCAATACCTGACGGAGGCTGACCAGTAGAACCATTGCGAGCAAGATTATTAGGAGTAGACTGTTGTAAGGGACCTCGACCAGAGAAACCACAGCCCCTTCCACCACGACCTCGACCTCGAAAGATGAGGATCTTCCCCGTCCACGATTACTTGAAAAAGGCACTGCATTGCTGTACATATTAGAAGAATTTGATTGAACATTCTGGGTAGCAAATGCATGATGAGAGATGATAGAATTAGATTCTTGAAACCGTTGCAACCGTTGTTCATGCAAAAGGAGCTTAGAACGCAAATCTTCAAGTGATACATGTCCAGGGAAGTGAGTGAGGATACCAACCAGCGTATCGTATTCTTTTCCTAATCCAAGAAGGAAGTGAATCAGCCAATTGTTTTGCCTCTCTCAAATATTGATCAATTGACATAGATGCCGTCTTCTTCAAAGTAGTGAGTTGTCTCTTAAGTTCAATTGCTTTAGCTTGGCTAGCATCCATATATCTACGGTGTAAGGAAAGCCAAATATCAAGGGAAGATGGTAAAAGATGGACGTCGACAAGGACTTCACGCGACAAGGTCGCAAAGATCCAAGAACGGACGCTTTGATCGATTCGAACCCACGAGCGATAGCTTGGATTCGGTTGTTGCGAACCAGTAGCGTCGCAAAGAAGCGGGGGTGGAGTAGGGATAGAACCGTCGACAAAACCAAGCAAATCATGAGATATGAGAAGGGAAGTGAACTGAGTACGCCATGTGAGATAATCTTCAACAGATTGTAACTTAATTGTTACCAGGTTGGTGACATTAGGCGCTGCTGGTGCAGTAACAGAGTGAAAATTTGAGGCAGTAGTTAAGTCCAACGAACCAGCACATGGAAATATAGGTGACATAATAGCAGTAGTAGGACATGGCAGCAAGCTAGGAGCAGATAAATAGCTTGGTACTGATGAGGCCATGGAAGAAAGGGATGACATAAGAGGAGGAAACGTTAAAGGGGGAGGTGAGAAAGCAAAAGTAAGGCTTGAGGATGGAATAGTGTTGTCAGGATTGGATATAGGAATAGAAGTAGAGGGTGAAGATGATGCCATAGTAAAGAAAAATGGTGTGGGAAAGTATTGGAGTTGAGGGGAAGATTTAGAAGAAAACGTGACTGCTTAGAAGAAGGAATGAGAGAGGATTTTGCTGGCTACTCTGATACCATGATAGATTTCATTGAATGGCTCAGTAATTAGAGAGCCTCTGTTACTTGTATTTATATGATATGGATACATACATTGGGATAAGTATATCACCTACAAAGATAAGTATTAAGAGTCCATCACATATATGGGATAACTACAAATATGAGATAAACTCTTAGAGTCCTAATACCACCTATTAATTAAATTACCCCCATTATAGTTTTCTTCTAAGTTCGAACTTAGACAAGTGAAACTTCATCACACTGTCTTGGAGTTTGAACAATGTGAATTGTGGCAATTCAAACTCCAGCGAATATTTTGTGTGTTTTTTCTTGTTTTACCTAGGGATATTCTTGCCCAACTTTATGCAGAAAGACTAACAAAGGGTTGTAGGGTTGGATGTGGGTTGAATGGTTCATTTAATCAAATAATGCAACATGTAATCTACTTTGGACGACATGTAATGGTTGTTGAATATGAAAAGCTCGGTCTTTGCTTTGTCAATTTCACAAAATTCTGAAAGAAAATAAATAAATAAACAAATTAGTGATGTTGACTTAATGTTGTGGTTCATTGAATCAAATGATGAAAGGAACAGTATAGAGTGTGTGAAAGTTTTACAAAATCTAGAAGAGACTAATTTTTTTTTCTGTCAGGAAAACTCAAACTTTGTTTTAAAACGATTTAAATTTTCTCGTAGGGTTCTACCTCCTAGTCAAAAGTCAAGAGTCAATAGTCAATTCTGATGCACAGAGAGACTTTTATACCTTTTTAATTCTAGAACTTACTCATTCTGGTAAGAGCTTTTCTTGTTACGACTGATACGGAGCTAAAAAATCAATCTTGCTCTCTTCAACCAAATTGAATTTCTACCTTTAAGTAGCAGTATGTCCGCTTGACAATTGTTCCTTCTGTTTCACATTAAATTTTTTCGCTTAATTTTGTAGATACAATATAAGAAATATATATATGTCGAAATTTTGAGTTACTTTATTTTGTCAAAGGAAAATGGCAGTCATATGTTAATATTTTTTTGGTTTTCTTTTCACTAAAAAATAAAGTAACAAAACAGTTACTAAGATTATTTCGTAACTTTTTGTAAGCATTGGGTGTGTTTGGTATAAAGGAAAATGTTTTCTATGGAAAATGTTTTCCTAGAAATTGTTTTCATGGAAAATGGTTCTATGACTTATTTTCCCTTGTTTGGTTGGTGAGGGAAAAACTTTTTCCAGAAAATAGTTTTTAGTATTTGGTTAGAGAGTAGAAAATATTTTTTAGGAAAATATTTTTTTTATACTACTCTCCCCACTCACCCCCTTCTCCCAAGTCCCCATATTTCCTATGCTCTCCTTTCCCCCTCCACCAACGTTTTCATAACTCTATTTTTCTTTAAGAATTTAATTATTCTTCTAAAAATTCATAGACATCCAAAGGAACTAATGTGCTGCATTACTTTTTTACGGAAAAGTAATGTTGAAATTTATGCTTTATAACTAAAAAGAAAATACTCTTTTTTTGGTTAAAAAAGAAAGTACTCTTTCTACAACATGAAAATAAAGTACTTATTTTGTTGAAATGAAAGAAAATATTTTTTCTGCATCATGAAAAGAAATTTTTTTTTTTGTTGAAATGAAAGAAAATACTTTTTCTACATTATGAAAAAAACCTTTTTTGCTGGAATGAAAGAAAATACTTTTTACTAATTTTTGTTGAAATGAAAGAACATATTTTTTTAATCATGAAAAGAAAGTATTTTTTTTTTGTTAAAATGAAAAAAATACTTTTTTGTATCACGAAAAGAAAAATACTCATTTGTTGAAATGAAAAAAAGTACTACATCTATAACATAAAAAGAAAGTACCGTTAATAATATTTCTATTGAGGGTGGGGTTGGGGGCGGGGAGTGGGGTTTGGGGCGAGAGTGAGGTGGGGGTGGGTTGGTGGGGATGAGAAATAGGATGGGAAAGGTTAAAATAGAGTTTTGGAAAATATTTTCCCTTCTCTTGATAGGGCAAACATTTTCTTTCCCCCAATTGAAGGAAAGTGAGTTCATGAGAAAAATATTTTCCTAAATATTTAAGCTAACCAAACATGAAAAAATTGGAAAATATTTTCCGAAAAATATTTTCTTCGTACAAACACACCCACTATCTATGGAATTTTAAATTATCACAGAAAGTGAATGTAGGGAGTATATATTTCCTTATCACACTTTAAAAAAAATTAAATATTATTTAATAGATAAAAATGGAAAAATTCAATCCATGTCATAATATTATTTTTAATCCATTAAAATTGAATTGGTATATTCTCAATATGCATACAAAAAAATGAACACCCCTCAAATCGAGTCAAGTTATATTCGTAGGTATTGATAGGATTAGCTAAGTATTTGGCCATCCGAGCAATTGTTCATGAATCATAACCATTATGGCATTATTGAAACCATTAATAAGGAACTACATTAGTTACAATTTAATTAGTAAATAAATACTTACATAAATAAACTGACCTGATTACGGAAGAAATTATTTGTGTAAACTGATTGGAAAAGATGCAATAATCCGGCATGGACCATGGGCGGATTATCCGTCCCATCCATGCACAAGCCAGAAAATAGTTCATCGGGAAGCGGCAACAAATTCCGGCAACGTTGGTCGACTCCGGCGGCCAATTTGATGCCGGAGAACGCGACGTATGCTGTCCCACCAACTTTAATCACGGCGAAGTGGCTATCCACTGAGGCATCAGCGACGCCGCAAGCCTTCCACGACTCCTCCAGCAACGGCGTCGACGCCACAAAAGCTGCCAACGTCTCGCTCGACTCGAACCTGCAGCCATCATAATAAGTTTTCTATAAGTCCAATTACTTACTATAGTTATGGGTTAGTGGAAAATTAAAGATTGGTGTTTACTTACGATGAAGCTTCCGATTCCATTGCTTACGAAATTATCAAAGTTTATGTCAGAAATTAAGAGTTTGAGGCAAAGTTGCTAACTGTAAAGATTCGAAGAATTAAAGGATATTTATGGAGTATGTATTAGTCTTTGAGATTTTGACATTTGTGCGTGAATGTTACTCTGCGTGTGTATTGTGCGCGTGCTGTCGCGCAATCAGTCCGTCCCATCATGAGGAAAATGAGTGACAAATAGAGTAATTTTTTGAACTTGACATCCTCAAGTGTAAGGTACGTAGCAACTTTGATCTATTTCATATTTCTCTTGTATACGGTCGAAATCGAGCTCGTCTATTACACAACAGATCGGAATTGAAACGCGATGGTTTGAAAACCGACCCCGGGTTTGAGTCCGGTCACCACGACGAAAATAACAACATAGCGCCCGGTAACAAGGTACCACTCGCTGATCCCATCGAAATTTCGGTCTCGAACCCGTTAGACGCTAACTCGCATGTGGCTATCGACAAACCTGCCTACCGATCCCGAAAATAGCATCGGTGGTGGAGCCCAATAACCAGCGCATAATACTCAAAATAATGGGGGAGACGGGATCAATCTACGGATGATCTTCGAAATGTTACAGGCTCAATGGGCGATGATAGCTCAGTTATAAAACCAAAGCCGCACACTGAGCAAAATTGAACCCGATCCGTCCCGGGAAATCACTCGCAGAGAAGAACCGGCCGCGGAGAGATCGAATGGAGATGAGTCGGGGACTAACCCCGAGATCATAAGAATGCTCGAGGAGCTGACAAAACCGATAGAATCAAGGGAAAAGAAAATCAAGGCAAATGACAAGAAGGTTGAAACTTACAATTCCAGGGTCGACCAAATCTCGGGAGCACTGCCGGTACTGAAAGGCTTGGATTCTAAGAAGTTCGTGCAAAAACCTTTTCCTCCGAGTGCGGCCCCGAAACTGATCCCTAAAAAATTCCGCATGCCCGAGATTCCTATGTACACCGAGACAACTGACCCAAACAAGCATGTCACTTCATACACATGCGCCATCAAAGGAAACGACTTGGAGGATGATGAGATTGAGTCTGTCTTGCTGAAGAAATTCGGAGAAACCCTGTCGAAGGGAGCAATGATATAGTACCATAACTTACCTCCTAATTCAATTGACTCATTTGCTATTCTTGCAGACTCTTTCATGAAAGCAGGGATTAGGGTTATTAAGGTCCAGACTAGGAAGTCGGACCTCTTCAAAGTAAGGAAAAAGGATAATGAGATGCTCAGAGAGTATGTGTCTCGGTTTCAAATGGAACGAATGGACCTACCACCGGTCGTTGATGATTGGTTCGTTCAAGCTTTCACCCAACGACTCAATGTTCGAAGCTCGGTGGATTCACAACACTTGAAGCGAAATGTGATATAGTACCCGGCTGTTACTTGGGCCGGTGTGCATAACCGATATCAATCAAAAATCAGAGTCAAAGATGACCAATTTGGGGCTCCTTCCGGGTTCGTTTACCTTGTCAAACCCGTCGACAGAATCAAGAGAGATATCGACCGTGAACCGAGGTCAAACAAAGATCGTTACCAGCCGTATAATGGAGATTGGAGAAGCAGTGGGTCCGGGCGAAGTTCTATACGGAATAAAAGGAGAAATGATCAAGGTCAGAACACTCAAAGACTCATGAGCAAGAACAACTTCGACATGCCTATCGGGCCTAAAGAAGCACCAATGTTATCGGAATATAACTTTAATGTTGATGCGGCAACTATCGTATCAGTTATCGGACGCATCAAAGATACCAAATGGCCTCGACCTTTACAATCCGATCCTGCCCAAAGGGATTCTAACCAAATGTGCAAATATCATGGCACTCATGGCCACATAACAGAGGATTGCCGACAGTTAAGAGAGGAAATAGCCCGGTTGTTCAACAACGGGCACCTTCGAGAATTTCTGAGCGACCGAGCCAAGAATCATTTCAGAAAAAGGGATTCTAACAAACAGACCAAACCAGAAGAACCTCAACACGTCATTAACATGATCATCGGTGGATCCGATGCCCCTCAAGAGTCGATATTGAAGCGCACCAAAGTGTCCATTATAAGGGAAAAACGGACTCGAGATTACATACCAAAAGGAACCTTGTCTTTCAATGATGAGGACGCAGAAGGGATCGTGCAGCCTCATAACAATGCACCGGTAATATCTATACTCATAAATAAATATCGAGTTAAGCGTGTGTTAATTATTCCAGGTAGCTCGGCCAACATCATCCGACCGAGGGTCGTAGAACAACTCGGCCTACAAGATCAAATCGTGCCTGCAGTCCAAGTTCTAAATGGATTCAACATGGCGAAACCGCTAAGGGAGAAATAATATTGCCGGTAAATACCGCCGGAACCATCCAGGAAACCAAGTTTTATGTGATCGAAGGAGACATGAGGTACAACACCAATGTTCAGGAGGCCATGGATCCACAACATAAGGGCAGTACCCTCGACTCTTCACCAAGTGTTAAAGTTCCCAACATCGGGAGGGATCAAAACAATCTACGGGGTGTAACCGGCCGCAAAGGAAATATTTGCAGTTGAAGAAGTGATCCCGGTATCAACATTGGCAACATCAAAGGAACCGGGTTTGGATACAAAGCAAGAGGCTAAATAGCAATTATCGACACCGGCTACGACCCAATCAGATAAATAGGGGACTGACAAAGATGATGATTACGGGGTTCCCAGATCTTTTATAGTCCCCGACTATTCCGATGCCATCAAATCAACGGTCGAGGAGCTGGAACAAGTCACATTGATCGAATGTCTGCCCGATTGGAAGGTATACCTGGGCACGGGGTTAACCCCCAAGCTCAGGAAAAAACTCATTCATTTTCTTATGGCTAACATGGATTATTTCGCTTGGTCATATCTTGATATGACAGGGATCTCACCGGAGATAACCACGCGCAAGCTGAGCCTGGATCTAAAATTCCACCCGGCCAAGCAGAAAAGGAGGCCCCAGTCCGAAATCAAACATGCTTTCATCAAGGACGAAGTATCTAAACTCCTTAAAATAGGGTCCATTCGGGAGGTAAAATACCTGGATTGGTTAGGAAACGTAGTAGTAGTCCCTAAAAAGGGGGAACAAATTAAGAATGTGTGTAGACTATAAGGATTTGAATAAGGTGTGTCCCAAGGACTCTTTATCGATGCCATAGCCGGCCACGAGATCCTTCATTTTCTCGACGCCTATTTCGGGTACAACGCCTAGTAAATCGGATGTTCGAAGAACAAATAGGGAAATCAATAGAATTTTACATTGACGATATGTTGGTTAAGTCCCTACGAGTGGGAGACCATTTAAAGAATTTTCAGGAAACCTTCAACATATAGAGGAAGTACAATATGAAGCTTAACCCGGAGAAATGTGCGTTCGGAGTCGGATCAGGTAAAGTCCTCGGGTTTATGGTATCCAATCGGGAATTGAGATCAACCCCGTCAAGATCAAAGTCATCGAAGATATCACAGTCCTGGACAACGTGAAGGCCGTGTAAAGATTAACCGGACGCATAACCACCCTGGGGCAATTCATCTCGAGATCCTCAGATAAGAGTCACCGATTCTTCTCGCTACTAAAGAAGACGAACAACTTTTGGTTGACCTCGAAGTGCTAACGGGCCTTGGAGGAACTCAAGCGGTATCAATCGAGCCCATCGCTGCTTCACACACCGAAGGCAGACTAACAACTATACCTGTACTTAGCTGTATCAGAGATAGCGATAAGTGGGGTCCTGGTTCGGAAAGAACAAGGTACACAATTTCCAATTTATTATGTTAGTAGGACTCTAGGTGAGGCCGAAACTAGGTACCGTCACCTAGAAAAATTGGCGCTCGCTTTGCTAAGTGCCTCTAGGAAATTGAAACCATATTTCCACTGCCATTCCATATGTGTTGTAACAACTTATCGATTGCGAAATATAATGCATAAACATGAACTCTCGGGATGATTGGCCAAATGGGTCGTGGAAATCAGCGGGTACGATATTGATTATCGACCCCGGACAGCCATCAAGTCTCAAATTTTGGCAGATTTTGTGGCCGACATTACGTCGACCCTAATACCCAAGGTCGAAAAAGAGTTGTTGGTAAACTCGGGGACGTCTTCGGAGATCTGGACCCTCTTTACGGACGGCGCCTCGAACGCGTAAGAGTCTGGACTTGACATCGTATTGAAGCCACCTACAGGCAATGTAGTTAGACAATCTATTAGAACTGTGAAATTGACTAACAACGAAGACGAATATGAGGCCATGATTGCAGGTCTCAAACTAGCCAAAAGCTTGGGGGCGGAGGTGATGGAAGCTAAGTGCGACTCCCTCCTTGTGGTGAACCAAGTTAACGTGACATTCGAGGTCAGAGAAGAACGAATGCAAAGGTACCTAGATAAGTTGCAGGTAACATTACACCGATTCAAGAAGTGACCTTGCAACACGTACCTCGGGATCAGAATAGCGAGGCCGATGCCCTTGCAAACTTAGGGTCGTCGGTCGAGGAAAACGAGCTCAACTCGGGGGCAGTCGTACAACTCATGAAATCGGTAGTGGAAGAAGGTCATGCCAAAATAAACTCTACAAGCTTGACTTGGGATTGGAGAAAAAAATATGTAGAATATTTGAAGATTGG